CCACACACCATCTCTCCTCCCAGTGCACAGTCCCACACTGATGCTGGCCCTGACTGTGAGGGTCCTGGAGAGCGTCCCAGTCACCTCCAGCCCCTCCCCCCTCCCCCCCAAAATCAGCAGCACACCTGGGTGCCAGGCCCCCTTCAATGCCACATGCACAGGGCAGGGGAGTAGGAAGGGAAAGCTGCAACCTGAATGCTCACGTGAATCCAGGCGCTGTGGGAAGTGGCCGCCACAGGCTGTAAGAGGAAGGGGTAGGGGGTCAGGGACAGTGGGGGTCAGCCCCCAGCCCAGGGCAGTGTGGTGGGGGATGCTCACCACAGTGCTGGCTCATCTCCTGCCTGACGAAGGCACGGATCTCCTCCTCCTGCCAGGTACATGCAGAGGCAACAAACCCATGTCACAGCAGGGGACAGAGCAATTAGAGAGGAGGAAAAACCCTTTCCCCAGGCCCATGTGCCAGAGCAGACCCCAGAGGTGGGGGAAGCCCCTCCACCAGTGGCAGTGTGCCCCATCCCACCCTGGTGACCCAAGTGCCATGAGCCCTTGCTGGCTCCCTTTAGGGTCCTTACCGTCAGGCCCGGCTCCCCCTTCTCCCCACGGAGTCCCTGGGTGCCAGGACGGCCCTAGGGACAAGCAGAGGGGAGGTGGGAGGCTGCCCCAGGTGGGGTGTCTTGCCCAGGGACAGGCTCCTGCTCACTCACCTGCTCTCCTCTCTCACCAGGGATGCCAGGCACACCGGGGGCCCCTGGCACCGACTGTCCTGGGGGGCCTCTCTCCCCCTGCCAAGGACAAGTGCTCAGGGTCAGGCTAGCAGCTACAGAGTCCCTCTGCCCTCCCCAGCACCACAGATGTGCTGCTTTCCCTGTCCCTGCACCTCCAGGATGTGTGCAGGTGGGGTTGGGTCCAGCCCAGCTCCATAATAAGGTCCCCAACACCCCAACCCGGGCAAGGAAACACAAGGGAGGACCCCAAAGCCAGCAAGCTGGCAGGACAGGGACATAGCTGGGACACACCTCCTGAGGCCACCAAACCCCTGCCTACTCTGGTGAAAGGGTCACCTGTGAGGACTCACCTTCTGGCCCTGCATGCCCTCAGGACCCCGGGGGCCAACATTCCCTGGGGGGCCAGGGGGGCCAGGAGCACCATCATTGCCTCGGGGACCAGGGACACCGACAATGCCTGGGGCACCCTGTGGAAGAGCAGAGAGTGAGGCCAGGCCTGTCAGAGACCCTGGCCCCAGAGTGGACACCAGGGGCATCCCCAAAGCATCAGCACCAGTGCCTTCTTGTAAAGAGTGAGGACCTGTTGTCACTTATAGTTTAGTGACATAATTTAGAGCAGCACCGGATGGCTCTTCTGGCAGCACTGGGCTCTGATGTGCTTCAGACCAAGGCTGGATCCTGATAAAAGCAAAACAGTGCAATGCATGCCATCCCCCTCCAGCCTGCTCACCCGGTCTCCTTTCTCCCCTTGGTCTCCTTTGGCTCCCTGCTGCCCATCGAATCCCCGGTCGCCCTGCAGAGAGGAAGATGCAGGCAGCAGGGGACAGGCAGCAGGGGACAGGCAGCAGGGGACAGGCAGCCAGGCAGCTAAAGTGCCAGCAGGGCTTTTCCTGGCACAGCCCTGACCTACCTTGGGTCCCATGAGCCCCTCCTTCCCAGGGATGCCCGGTGGTCCTGACAGACCCAGCTCTCCCTGGGGGACAAAGCAAGCATCCTTCAGCCACCGGCCACGTGTCCCCACCCCTCCCCAGCACCTTGGCAGTACTTACCTGCTCACCTTTCCTCCCTGGCAACCCTGAGCGCCCCGGAATCCCTGGCTCTCCCTATGTCGAGGCAGGAGAGAGGCAGGGCAGTCAGTCCTGCCACCCTCAATGCTCACCCCAGTGTCACGGGCAGAGGAAGGGACCTCATGCCCCTGCCATGGGGCCAAGCTCCAGCCTCAGCCATCTCCCTGCTCCCGCCAGATGGCAGAGGGGATCCAAAGGGCCACAGCCCCCAGGCACCATGCGGGCTCCTGTGGCATCCCATGGGCACCCACTCACCTTCTCACCCTTGTCACCATCAAGGCCACAGGCGCCTTTCATGCCCCGATCACCCTGTGAGGATGAGGAGGGGAGTCAGAGCCCCACCAAGCCAGTGCAGGTCGTGGCCAGGACAGCACTGGCAGGAAGAGGGGCCAACCCACCTTGGGGCCACGCATGCCCAGGGGTCCCATGTCCCCTTTCTCTCCTCGGGCTCCAGGGATCCCATTGCGGCCGGGCTGGCCCTGCAGGAAAGCACACAGCATAAGGGGGGTCCTCTCCTGCCCAGCTGTGGGGTGGCAGTGGCACTGAGATGTGGCTCCTCACCGGCTCACCAGGCTCTCCTGGCACTCCAACCTCTCCCTGGGGAAGACAGGCATTGGTTAGGACAGGCAAGGGGGGCAGTACCACCAACACCCTGCCAGCAATCCCCCAGAGGGTTGTCCAGCTCCTTACCTTCTGCCCACCAGGTCCACGTGCCCCAGGGAAGCCTGTGGAGCCCTTCTCACCTTGCTCACCCCTTGCCCCCTGCAAGAAGAAACCCAGACTGACACAGGGCAGGAGGCAGAGCTCTGGCCATGGCACAGCTACGGTGTGGCCATGGTGGCCAACTCTTGCAGCCCCCCTTGCTGGGGTGGCCAAGAACCATGCCAGGGTGCCCACAAACACCAGCACACAGGGATGCCACTCTGCCCCAGTCCCTCTGTCCATTGCCCTGACTGCAGCACAACTGTGGTCCCCAACCCAGCACCCCCCAGCCCCACTCAAGCTCCCCCAGCCCTCTACCTTCTCTCCAGGCATGCCTTGCTCCCCTTTGTTCCCCTTGTCCCCTTCCACGCCCTTCAGGCCACGCTCTCCCTGCAAAAGAAGAAACACAAGGAGGGGTCAGGGGATGCTCAGATTCACCTCGGAGTAGGGAGAACAGATTCCCTGGGGCAGGGACACAGGGGTCTGTGGGGTGGCTGGGGCAGGCAGGGCCTTTGGGAGGGGGATGCACAGGAGGGGGATGCCCACCAGGACAAGAGGGATGACACAGAGGGGGACAGGGGGAAGGGGAGCATCTCTTACCGGCTCC